GTGAGCGATAGCACAGCGGATAGGGCGTCCGCCTTACAAGCGGCCAACATGGCCGACCCGAGTTCGATTCCTCTGCCTCTCTCGGAGAGCCCGGCAAGCTACCGAGAGTATTCGATATGCCAGACACAGTAACAACAAAGTCTCCAATGGAGACGTTACTGGGCCCGCTCGAGCAAATCGACGATCAACGGGAGGGCCTTTACCTTTACCTTTGTGACTTCTTTAAATTATCTTTCATATATTGTCCATAGAAAGCATGGTTTGGCAATTAATGCCAATTAATGTATATGAAAAAATATATTTAAGAGCATCATTTTGTTATGAACATGAGTTACAAAAAGAGGCAAAAAATATGTGTTGAACACAGAAAGTAAAATTAAGATTAAAATAAGTTTAAAAAAAGGGGGGGCTGGAGCAATAGTACAGCAGGTAAGGTGTTTGCCTTGCACATGGCTGACCCTGGGTCAATCTTCTGTGCTCCATATGGTCCCCAAGTCAGCCATCCAGGAGTGATTCCTGAGTGCAGAGCCAGGAGTAAACTGAGACCACCACTGGGTGTGACCCAAAAAATCAAAACAAAGTCTCAAAAATGTGAGAAAGAATTATCTTTGTCACAGCATCAAGAGCAAAGAGTGAGAGTTCTTGTTTCTTGAAGTTTTTGCCTTTTGGTTTCGGTTTTGCTTGGCTTTTCTGAAGTTATGTTATTGCTTTGCTTCATTTTGGGATTTTTTTGGTTTTGATTTTCGTTTTGATTTATTTGTTCGTTTGGTTGGTTTGTTTTGTCTTGGTGGGGCCATACCTGGCTATGCTCAAGGCCTACTCTAGGCTCTATGCTGGGAGTCACTTTTGATCTTCTACATGCAAAGTATGCACCCCAGCCCATTGAGTTATCTCTTCTGCCTGAGTGAGAATTTTAAGACCAGCTCTGACACAAATTCCTGTCACAAGTTCCTGGAGTTCAGATCAGAGTCTTTTGTTTTTTTGTGTCCTTCAAGTATTCTAAGGGTTACATTTTTCAAGTGTAAGAAGCAATTCTAATTACTATCCACAATAGGAATTAAGGTGACCATAAAATCAGAGCTCCTCTAGTACTGTTACTGAAGATTTTAACTGCTCTCTTATCAACCAGTATTTGTCCCTAAAGGATAGAATTAAACTGAACTCAAGTCACAAGTTCCTTCGAAGATTTTAAGCAAATGTTTAAAATAAAATGTTTGATCCCTTTATTTGTTAAATCTGAAATTACCTGAATGCACATATATAATCAAAATTGTGTAGTAGGAGTCTTTCATTTTCCATCAACTGAATTTAGTGGGATAAAACAGCAGGTACCTGATGCTGAAATGTCAAGACTAAAATGTCACAGAAGCGCCAACTTTGGTAAAGTTGCATCTCCCTTTCTGAGCAGTCATTTGAAAGGGTCACCAGTGGGTCTCTAAAAATGTGGATGTGACCTTACATTGCAGACTTTCATGGTTCCAACTTTAACAATTCCTGTCACAGTCCTTGAGTCAATACCCATGCCCCCACAGTATATAGAATCTCCATTTCATTCTTGAATTCACACAGGTAAGTGGGTGGATATATATATGGGTATGTACAGAGGTCCATTTTTGAGTTAATCCCATCTCAGTTCTCTGATAAGGGTTTTATTTATGATTTATTTGAAATTAAATTAATTTAAACTTTACCTACTGCCTTCCAGTACTGGGTCTTAAATCAAAAATAAGATTTGAAAGAGCTGAAGACCACCTAACCAATGGATATTCAAGACCATTTACTTCTTCATGTTTCAGCATCTTTCTTTGTAAAGTGAAAAATCAGTAAGCAACTAAACTCTACAGATGGCCAAAATAGGTACACTTGAAATGCTTCAAGAGAAAGGTGTAAAGCTCTTTTAACCTTTTTTTTAAAAAATGATACAAAATAAGCAAATGAGCACAAGAAGAAAATAATAGAAGAAACAGAGCATTTTGAAGAATGTTACAGCCATTCTCATTCTCTCAATTGTCTAATTTCAAACTACCTTGCACTTCCAGTGGCTGAAGCTAGTATGCATACTGCCACATGTTATGATATTTTTCAGAATCCAGTATTGGATACACTCAAGGATGTAATTCACCACTGCAAAACAGACTTTGATTTCTTCATCCATCTTCTCTTCAAGACAATCAACTCTGATATTTGATGTGAGCACAAAGCCTCATTTGTCTGGTCCAAATATCCAGATATGTAGGCGGACACATTCTACCAAGGAATGTCATCAAAGTTCATGTCTGCAGATTCCACAGCATGAGGCATCTGACCATTTGCCTCTCAGAATATCCTGTGAAGAGTTTTTTTCCTACCTGAAAATAAATTGTTTTCACTTCCTCCCCAACTATATTATTTTTTTCTCTTTTGGGGTCACACCCAGCGATGCTCAGGGGTTACTCCTGGCTCTGCACTCAGGAATTACTCCTGGCAGTGCTTGGGATGCTGGGAATTGAACCCAGGTCAGCTGTGTGCAAGGCAAACGCCCTACCTGCTGTGCTATCGCTCCAGCCCTGCCCCTCCTCCCATGTGTTATTGACAATGAACCACATAAAAGTCTTTCTACAGGTTACTACAGAGGACATAAAGAGAGATAAGTAGGTTCCTGCTCTTGAAATGAACTTTACACACCAAATACAGTTCTCAGACTAAGTTCTCTAAAAGGAGATGGTAGTGTGTTTGTCTCTCTATTGTCAGAGATGGTGATATAATTTGATTAAACTAATGAATAAAAAGTAGGGGGGAATGAATGTTCTATTGAAGTCCTTTCCTGACTAAGATACCAGCCACAAGAAATTACTTCTACTCTGTATAGTCTGATCCCAGTTGTTTAAAAACAGGATAGAGATTGATGGGCCAGAGAAATAGTACAGCTGATAGGGCACTTACCTTGCACTTGGCCAACCTGGGTTTAGTCCCCAGTTTGGTTTCAAGGAGTGCAATGTCACTTTGGCTAAAGCATGTGCTATTCAGAAGAATTATTAAATTATCGAGCATGTGGGGCTAGAGCAATGGCACAGTGGGTAGGGTGTTTGCCTTGCATGCGGCCAACCCGGGTTCAATTCCCAGCATCCCATATGGTCCCCCAAGCACCTCCAGGAGTAATTCCTGAGTGCAGAGCCAGGAGTAACCCCTGAGCATTGCCGGGTGTGACCCAAAAAGCAAAAATAAAAAATAAAAAATTATCGAACATGCTATTTGGACAGCATAGGATATGAACATCACCAGGCATGGTTCTCTGCTGCTTTCATTACTGAGTCAGCATTTCTGCTTGATATCTGGTTTCTGTGCCCTTTTTATTTTATTATCTAATTATTTATTTTGGAGACTGCACCCAGTGATGCTCAGGGGTTACTTCTCAGGAATCACTCCTGGCGGTGCTCTTGTACAGAATGCCAGAGATTGATGCTGGGTGAGCCAGTGTGCAAAGCAAACACGAAACTGTCCTTCCGGCCTTTCTCTTTAACCTCTCTAACAGTTTATCCAACTGGCTTAGTGTGGTGGTAGAGCACTTGCCTTGAGGGTGTGAAACCCTGGGTTTGGATTCCCAACACCACAGCAACTAAATAAATAAAACAAAAACTGTTCCATGGTCTCAAGTATTTTTTATGTAAATTATAGCTAATGATATGTAATCCATTACATGTTAAAATTGAGAGCATTTCCAGGTATTAGTTCAGACCAGAAAAGAAAGTGTGCATTTTTTTCCCAACAAAGAAAAGTTCAAGATTTCAATGTAACTTTTTTAAAATTTTTTATTAGTGAGACACCATGAGGTACAGTTGTAGACTTACAAATTTTGTGCTCGGGTTTCAATTATACAATGATCAAATACCCATCCCTCCACCAGTGCCCAATTCCCACCACCACGGGTCCCAGTATCCCTCCCACTCCCATCCCCCCCAGCCCACCCTGCCTCTGCGGCAGGGCATTCCCCTCTGTTCTCTCTCTCCTTTTGGGTGTCAATGTGACTTTTTAAAAGAATAATGAAGTGATACTGATCCTGGCAGACATGACACAGGGAGCTAAGAACAGTATATATGTATGAAACAACCAAAACTTCACATCTCTATAATGAGCATATATTGGCGACCAGAAATGTGGCTCAGTGATGGAGCACATGCCTTGCAGGTAATAGCCCTGGGTTCCCCCAACATAGGGTGGGATGGCGGGGAGGGGGGGGGCAGATATTGATATTTAAACATTCTACCATAGAAAATAATAAACAGAAATCACAAGATTATACATGCAGACATTCGATTAGCAGAGGGATGACATAACTGCATACTAAGTTGCTAGTGGAAATTTCCACCGAACACTCACAGGAGAGTAAAAGTGAAGGCACAACCTGTCTTATCATAATGCAAATAGTTTCAACCATCCTGGGGACATCTTGAAAAAGATCTCGGAGAAGTCCCAGGCCTGGCAGAACCCAGTGAGAACCAGTCCATAAATATTCAGGTGACTTCCCACTTCAGTTTCCTAAATAAGGTGTCATTTTCTTCTCCGAGATTCTTTCTCCTTTCCCGGGCCACCCTCTCAAGACATTTGGAAGGAAACTCCCAAGGACTCTTAGGCCGGTGGGATCCCCAAACTCAAAGTTGGCCTGCTGGAAGCGCCAATCGGTAGCCCTGCTGAGCACAGAACTGAAATGCTACCCAGAGTTCGCCCGGTCGACAAATGAATTCCAAACCCGCCACCCGCGCTCCCGAAGCGGAGCCAGAAGCGGCGACAGGCTGCCGGGCTCGCCCAGAGCCCCGGGCAGACGCCTGGGCGGCCGAACAGAGCGACGCGCGGCTTCTCCGGAGACGCCCAGCCGAGGCAGGGCTGGCGCGGCGCGAGGGAGGCCGGCCCCCTGGGGGAGGAGCGCGGCGGGCGGTCACAGGTAGCCCTCGCCTCCCGCGGCCACTGCCGCGCTCCGCCGCTTCCCGGATCGTCCCCGCCAGCCAGGCCGCCGCCGCCGCCGCCGCTGCAGCCGACCCCCGGCGCCTCCCCTCTCGGATCGTGGCCCTGCGAGGAGCGAGGCCCCGAGCAGCGCGGCGAGGGGCGTGGACCGTCGCGTCCGAACGCGGGCAGCATCTCATCACCCCACCGCGGGGCTCCCCGCGCGCGGAGCTGCTGGAACATGAGCGCGGAGCTGCAGGTGCGCGGCGCCCAGCCTGGGGCTTTGACTCGAAATCCGAGGAAGGGTTGACAGTGCCCGCTCGGCCTCGGGCAGAGTGGGAGAGAGAAACTTTTGCTTCCAGGAGCTGGCTCGAGCCACTTGCCCGCACGAGTTTGAGGACAGCCCCCACCCCCTCCCAGGGACCGAAAACACACGCGCGGGCCGCAGTGGGGCGCCGACGCGCGTCCCCCCCCCCGCCCCCCCAGAAGCACCTTGCCAGGCTGGGAGATCTTTCTGTTCTCTCCTTTTCACTTAGTATTGCTGTTCTTTTCGTTTGTTTCAGCTTGTCTGACGGTTTGCTGGACTATGTTGACACTTCTGGTTCTGCTCGGTCAACTGCCCAGAGTTACCGTCGCGTTTCCTCATTGCACAAGAAGACCGCAGGAGCCCAGGCATGCCGGAGAAAGTAAGCGCGCAAATCCGAGCTAAGTTCGCAGGTCTCAAACGAGAAGGGGGTAGCAAGTGAGGGACTTGCCTTTAGCAGTAAAACCAAAAAAAAAAAAAAATTTTTTTTTTTGTTTGGTCGCTGGCCTATTTGGTCGAGTTGCGGTTGTTGTGTTCAGATTCAATCTGTACAAATTTATTTCTACAGGTCTTTTCTGGCAAGTATATGTTTAAGACTTGGGTTGCGGTTAACTGGCTGAATTGGAAACCTATTGCAACTCGAGAAAAATCACTGAGTGCCGTTTTTTTCTAGACGAGGCTTATTTGGTAATTATAATGAACGTAATTACTTGTGCTTCCTGGAAAGATGGCATTCAGGGAGTTCAGGATCTAGCCTGGACTTGTTGTGAGATACCAGGCAAGTTACTTAACCCTTTTCAGCTTGAATTTCTTTGTGAAACAATGAAAGGGAGTGAGGAGCGATCGTGGGTCCTTACTGACTTTGGTTTGTTTTGTTTGGGGGTCACACCTAGCTCATGGGTTACTCCTGGCAGTCCTTGGGATCATATGGGATGCAGGGGATTGAACCCAGGTGGCAGACTGCACAGGCAGTTCTTACTGATTTTTATGTGTCTGATAATCAGGACTTACAAAAAGTCAGAAGTTTCAAAAAAAAAAATTAGATTTAGGGCTTGCTAACTTACATGCCTCCTGAGTTCCTGTTCTATACACTCAGACCCGTTCCTGCCCATATTTTAAAAACCTAATCTAGAAAAATAAGAAACGGGGAAAAACAAGGAAAAGAAACTTTTGGCACTCAGCCTTCTTTCTCTATGTGACCATTGTGTTTTCTCACCAGAACCAATGCTTTAGATCTACTCCCCCACAACCCCCGTCCCTCATTCCTTCTTAGCTGCTCCTATTCTCGGCTTTCATTTGGGAAGGATTCGTTACACTGTTACTCCTGAATGACTTATTAATCATTAACATAGCTAATTGTGTTCAACATCTTAAGGGTATATCTCTGTGTGTACATGTATGTGTGCATTAGATAATACCAACCTGGGGTGGCAAAGCAATTGGATAGTCTAGAGAGAGATTTTGGAGGAATCTTCCCCAAAATACTTTTGAGTGTGTTGCATCATTCACAGAGTATAAGATAGGAAAGACATGAAAAACTATGAAAGGAATTTAGAGGTCATGCTTGAATGGGAAAGTCTGGTCTTATCTGTGAGCGATGTATCTAAGGGGTCCTATATGTTTTAAAAGCTGATTTGTTCAGTTAGTAACTATTCTGTTTAACGCATGCTATGTGTTACACTTTTTGTTGCTTCATGCTATGTACTGAGGATGCAGAAGTTAAAAAGGCTGTACAACTTTTTTTTAATCTGGCAGGAGCTCCATAAATACATGGCAGAGGATGGAACCCAGTGCCAAAAGCAGAGAAAGATTAGGGATAAGGTGTGGGAAGTTGGCTCAAAGGGCTGAAGCACATGTTTTACATGTAGGAACTTCAGTTTTGATCATTAACACCACATAGTTACCCCAACAAGAAACCAGGAATAGCCGTAAACATGACTGGGTGTGGTCTAAAAATAAAAAGTAGTGATAAGACTGTTTCTGGAGGGATTGGAGTGATAGTACAACAGGTAGGGAATTTGACTTGTACATGGCCAACCTGGATTCAATTCCCAGCATCCCAGATGGTTCCCTGAGCACCGCCAGGAATAATTCCTGAGTGCAAAGCCACGAGTAACCCCTGAGCATCGCCGAATGTGACCCAAAAAGAAAAAAATAGCCTGTTTCTGGAGGAAATATGTGGAAGCAGTCAATGCTCTCTAACTGCAAGTAGATTCTAATAAGTAAGTTGGAAGCCAGGAGGAAAATAAGAGACCTTCCTCTGAATCCTGATAAAGACTCAGGACAGAGTTGAAAATGACTTCAGAGGAATTTAGAAAGCTATGGGGATAAAAATGTAAAATTATGGGAAGAGAAAGGAGGAAATAGGCTATCTGGGTTGATGGTTTGAAGCAACAGAATGTGCTTTTCAGATGACAATGGCCTTCGAGGATAGCTACAAAAAGAGACTAGTAATAGAAAGAGAATCTGGGAAGCCATTGCAAAAGTACAGAGGCTAGGGACCAAGGATGTTGCTTAGTGGCAGCACCCTCTCTTGCATTGTGAGGCCTTGGGTTCAATTCCTGGTACTGTCAAGAAAAATTAGGAAAAAAATGCTGGAGAGATAATACAGCATTAAGGCACTTGTGTCGCTTACTGCAGACCTAAATTCAATACCCCACTATATGGCATCCTGAGCCCTTTCAAGAGTGATCACTGAGAGCAGAGCCAGAAGTAAGTCCTGTATAGTCCCAAAAACAAACAAACAAAAAAAGAAGAGTGGGGGTGGGGTGTTGATAGTAGGGCTCCTAAAATCATAGGAGAGACAAAGGAGCGTTTTATAAGATTCTGAAGGTCTAAGGTCAACCACAATCAAATTGAGCTGGAGAGACTGTACAGTGGGTAGGGCATTTGATGTTTGACATCTCTATGGTCCCTCGACCACCTCTGAGTGCAGTCAGGAGTAGACCCTGAACACTGCTGGGTGTTGCCGCCCCCTCAAAAGATCAGAGCAAACAATCTTAAAAATAAAATACAATCAAAATATAAACTTTCACACTTAGGAAGTACAAAACAGCAATCCTGAAAGACACATTTCATGAGGGACAAAGATTTTCATTGGCATAAATTTCATTTCAGTGGCAATAAAAGTTTTTATGAGTAGTTATTATTTAAATTGAAAGTAGAAGAATGGGAAGGTAGAGAATATTTTTATTAGATAATATTCTTGAGCAAAAGACTGCTAAATAAGAAATTTAGGGGTTTTTTTAAAGCCAATAAAATGTAAAACTTGATGTGTATCTGGAATGTAGCAGTACAGAAGCAGAATTTTAATTCCCCTTTCTTTTGTGGGTGGTAGGACTGGGTCAGACTCAGAGGTGTTCATAGGCTGTTCCTTGCTCTGTGCTTTGGAGTGATCCCTGGAGGTTTTTGGGAAACCATGTGTGGTGCCTGATATCAAACCAGAGTCAGCCACACGCAAGGCAAGAACCCTATGTCCTGTACTCTCTCCAGCCTTGTTCTCCATTCTAAAAATAGTTTTCATATAGCAGGTATAACTAAGTCAGTTTCACTGCTAGCTTAGCGTTTCAAACCCCCTTCTGGGTCAGATCAATACTACAGCAGGTACGGTGCTTGTCTTGCATGCAGCCAACCTAGGTTCTATTCCTGGCATCCCATGTGGTTCTCCTGAGCATTGCCAGGGAGTGATCCCTGAGTGCAGAGCCAGGAGTAAGGCCTGAACACAGCCCGGTGTGGCCCCCAATCAAAAACAAAAACAAAAAACACTAAGCCAAGCTAACTACCACCAACTATACTTACGAATTGCTTCAACGGATAGATTTGAGGTTTAAGATTTTTCCCACTATAGAAAACTTTTTGAGTACCTGTTGTGACAAGCACCAATACCCTGCTTATGAAGCTTCTTTCCCCAGTGAAGGCAGCAAAGAAAATAAAAAGCTATTGCATACCAGGTGATGATCAGTCGTACTGAAAAAACAAAGTCTCAAAGGGTCAGGGAGTGACAGGGAACAATGGGTGGGGATGGTGGTTCAAGGTAACACTAAACCAAATACCACAGGAGCTGAGAAAGAAAGCTCAAAGTTATATTGAGGGAAATAGCAAGAACAAAGGCAATGAGATTAGGCCTTGAAAACCTTTAGCTACTCCAGAATGTTAATAATAATAATAATAACAACAACAACAACAGACTATAGGAGAACAAGGAGACTACTCAGAACTCTATTTTATTTTTTTTTTTTGCTTTTTGGGTCACACCCGGTGATGCACAGGGGTTACTCCTAGTTCTGCACTCAGGAATTACTCCTGGTGGTGCTCAGGGGACCATATGGGATGCTGGGAATCAAATCCGGGTCAGCCGATGCAAGGCAAACACCCTACCCGCTGTGCTATCACTTCAGCCCCTTTAATTTTTTTTAAACAATAGCTATTGCAAGAACGCTGATGCATGTTGGTAAAGACTTGGACATTCTTAATTCTAGCCCCATTTGGTGGTAGCATAAAACTACAAGAATAAAAAAGGAGATGAAAGTACAGAAATATTTCATTACATTGGCTACCTTTTAGAGTGTCTTCAAACAACTACTCTAGTTTTCCCTTGAATTCAGATAATTCATCTGCCTTAATTAGAACACAGAAACAATTACTCTAGTATTGCATTAGTCAACAGAAGTCTAATAACTTAGACACACCATTTTTTTACAGTGCTACAGGACTATTTTTACTGAATCCTAATGAGTTACAAAGTTGTTCATGATTAAGTTTCAGGCATACAATATTCCAATACCAATCCTTTCACCAGCATCCACTTCCCTCCATCAATGCCCCCAGTTTCCCACTGCATCCCCAGCCTGCGTCTATGACAGGCACTTTCTTCTTTTTCCTTTGAGGCACTGTGGTTTAGAATGTTATTGATAGGGTACCATGTATATCACTTTACCTCCCATTATCACCCAGTCCTTATTTAGAACCAAAAAAAAATTCTTTCTTTTAAAGGTTTTTGGCCTCACCACCATTGTTCAGGTGTTACTCTGGGGTCTGCACTCAGGAATCACTCTTGGTGGTGCTCAGGGGACTATATGGAATGCCAGGGATAGAACCCTTGGGGGTAGCACGCAAGGCAAAGACCCTACTTGCTATACTATTGCTCTGACTCCGAGAGCCAAACTGTTTTTAAAATGGCTCCTTTTTTCTCCTTTCTGAGCTAGTTGCCTCTCAGTTTGAGTGTGTATATATATATATATATATAGAGAGAGAGAGAGAGAGAGAGAGAGAGAGAGAGAGAGCAATAGCACAGCAGTAGGGTGTTTGCCTTGCACGCTTCCAACCCGGCCGAGCCAGGTTTCGATTCCTCCTCCCCTCTCAGAGAGCCCGGCAAGCTACCGAGAGTATCTCTCCTGCACCGCAAAGCCTGGCAAGCTACCCGTGATGTATTCGATATGTCAAACACAGTAAGAGCAAGTCTCACAATGGAGACATTACTGGGTCCGCTCGAGCAAATTGATGAACAATGGGAGGACAGTGACAGTGATAGTGTATATATATATATTATATATATGTATATATAATATATAATGCATAATATATATATACACATACATGACTCCACTCGTTGGAGTTCCCAAACATTTAATTACTAAATGTAAAGTTAGATACATAATTATATAAACACTTAAATTTTCTTAATGCTCTCAACAAATATATTCACTATTAAGTAAGGTATGAGGTTCACAGCGCTCATAAAAATCTTCTGGAAGATAAAAATGTATAAAAATTTTAGCGAGTGGAAACATCGTTGAAAGCAACCGATCTTGGAACCAGAGAAATGGCCATGCACGCGGCTGACCCAGGTTTGATCCCCGGGTACCCCATATAATTGACCGCACACCGCCAGGAGTGAGACCTTAGCGCAGTCAGGTGTGGCCCCAAACAAACCCAAACCAAACCAATTGATCTTCCAGAAGAACGATAAGGGCGATCAGAATACTCTAGGTTTCGTCTGGTAGTCTCGCAGGTGAAGAGCCGAGATGAATCTTCGTTTTGTTTCGGGGCCACACCGGATTCTTATGAACGGGAACACTGGGGCAGATTCTTGCAGGGTTATGGCGGCTGAAACACGGGACAGTGGGTCCCAGCCACAGCGGTGATTCTAGATCGAAAGGCACACCTCACACGGGTCTGAGGGGTCTGAGAGCCAAGAGCATCCTGCCTGTCACCCCGCTCTGGCTGCGCGGCCCCACCCCTGTCTAATGACCACCATTTAAACAAATCAAAAAATAAGATAATAGCCATCTTAGAAGGTTAAAAATAAAATAAAATGTATTATTATTAAAATTTTTAATAATAAAATTGTTACTATACTTAATCTAACATGTCTAAAATATTTTAAAATATAAGCAAATAAACATTATTAGTGAAACCTTTCACATTGTTTTTAAAATATAATATTTGGGCCAGAGTGATAGTACAACAGGTATGGTGTTTGCCTTATGTGTGGCCGTCGCTGGTTCAATCCCCAGCACCACATATGGCCCCCCAAAGCCTGCCAGGAGTGATTTCTGAGTGCAGATCCAGGAATAAGTCCTGAGCACTGCAGGATGTGGCCCCAAAACCAATATAAAATAAAGTCTTTGAAATTCTGTGCCTGTTTTACACTTAGAGGAATTCTTAACTCAGATGAGTCACAGTTCACTGTCTCAGAAGCTGCTGGATCAGTACAGTACAGAGGATACTATACTAAACAGAGCAGCTTAATAAGGTTCAGAGTTGTTTGGAAGGGTGATTATTTATTGCAGTGTTTCCCAAAGTGGTCAGTACACCCTGGGGGTGCACCCCCCCATATCTAGGGAGGAGTAATAGTTGCAGGTGCAATAGGGTGGTGCTGTTGTTCACTTTATAAAGGTAGATTTTTCTAGGGACATTGAGTGAGATATATTTTTTAAGTGTGATAGATCAAATAAGTTGGGGAACATTTAGTTTAATAGAAAAAAATATCCTGGACAAGGCTTGACTGTTCTCGAGTGTTTAAGAGTAAATGATCGGGGCTGGAGTGATAGTACAGCAGGTAGGGTATTTGCCATGCACACGGCCGACCCGGGTTCAATTTCCAGCATCCCATATGGTCCTCTGAGCACAGCCAGGAGTGATTCCTGAGTGCAGAGTCAGGACTAACCCCTGTGAAACACCAGGTGTGACCCAAAAAGAAAAAAAAAGAGCAAATGATCAACCTAAGGTGGCACAAAAATCCTACTGGTTTTTCAAGCCATGCTCTCTCAGTCTTGAGCTGCCTTGATTGTTCATTTGAATATACTCTTTCTTTTATAGTAGGTTCCTCCGCCCCTCTCGGAGGGCCCGGCAAGCTACTGAGAGTATCTCGCCCACACGGCAGAGCCTGGCAAGCTACCCGTGAGGTATTCTATATGCCAAAAAAAGCAGTAACAACAGGTCTCACAATAGATATGTTACTCAAAATAGGAGACTAACACCCAAAAACAGTCGAGATAAGTACCAGAAGGTTTTCTCCATGGCTTGGAGGTCAGCCACACATGCTAGGGGAAAAGGCAGCTCAGATAGAGAAGGGAGCACCAAATAAAGGGTGTTGGGAGGATCGTCCCAGGGAGATGCATGCTGAAAGTAGACGATAGACTGAACACGATTGCCACTCAATTCCTCTTTTGCAAACCACAGCACACAAAAGGAGAAAGAGAACAAAAGGGAATGCCCTGCCACAGAGGCAGGGTGGGATGGGGAGATGTGGGGGTGGGAGGGATACTGGGATCAGTGGTGGTGGAAAATGGGCACTGGTGAAGGGATGGGTACTCAATCATTGTATAATTGAAACCCAAGTACAAAAATTTGTAAGTCTACAACTGTACCTCATGGTGTTTCAACTAATAAAAATTTTTAAAAAAGAAATCAATTATAAAATCAAAGACCCATAACACAAATATATTATATATGTTATATATACAATATAAATCCATCAAAATATAATGATTCATGGGGCTGGAGTGATAGCACAGCGGGTAGGGCATTTGCCTTGCATGCAGCCAACATGGCCAACACAGGTTCGATTCCCAGCATCCCTTATGGTCCCCTGAGCACCGCCAGGAGTGATTCCTGAGTGCATGAGCCAGGAGTAACCCCTGAGCATCGCCGGGTGTGACCCAAATAAACTATATATATATATATATATATATATATATAATGATTCACATAGGAGAAAAATAGAGATGTTACTGGTGCCTGCTCAAGCAAATCGATGAACAATGGGAGAACAATGCTAAAGTGAGAAAACCCAACACTTTTCAGTTCCTTTAAGTATTTGTGGGGTGGGGGGCTGTTTTGCTTCCTTGTTTGTTTTTTTCTTTGGTGTCAGGGAGAGAATCCAGGACCAACACACAACACACAAGGCATGTTTACTCGACCATTGAGCAATACCCTGGTCATTTCCCCTTGGTGTAGTTAGTCTCAGAGAATTTGAGTTCCAGTCTTGGTAATATGATCTGGAGCAAGATCATTAGTTTTGTTTATGTGACACACAAATGGGTCCCAACTTTGTGAGTCTTGGGACCCAGGATATGGCTAGATTATTAGAGTTTGTATCTTCCTTGTGCAAGATCCTAGATGTGATTCCTGTATTATTTATTATTTAAATATTGTACATGTTTAAATTTTTCTTTTAAAATTTATTTTAAGTTTTAAAATTATTCTTTTAAAACTTAAAAAACCTAAGTGATGGGGCTAGAGTGATAGCACAGCTGGTAGGGCGTTTGCCTTGCACGCAGCCAACATGGCCGACACAGGTTCGATTCCCAGCATCCCATATGGTCCCCCGAGCGCCGCCAGGAGTGATTCCTGAGTGCATGAGCCAGGAGTAACCCCTGAGCATCGCCGGGTGTGACCCAAAAAGCAAAAAAAAAAACCCTAAGTGATTATTTAGTTCATAGTTCATGTCCTTGTGAAATTTTACCGGCGGTACATGATACACAATTAATAACACCAAATCAAAATTAAGAATCTCTTCTAATTCTTGGCCCAATACCCTGTGCATTATATCAGACTAATTTTCCCAGTGAAGGTAATTGGGAACTCTTTAGAAATAGAATATCCTGGGTTAAGGGAGTAATAGTACTGCTAGTAGTGCATTTGCAGTTGAACCAAGTTCATTCACAGGCATCCCATCTGGTCCCCTGAGCACTGCCAAGAGTAATTCCCGAGTGCAGAGCCAAAAGTCACCCCTGAGCATGACTGGATGTGTCCCCCAAAATAAAAAGAAAAAAGAAAGAAATAGAATAACCTGGACTTTCATTAAAGGAAAAATAATTGTCTAGGGGGAAATCTGATATTCAGACTGTTGGCTCTGTTAATAATTTTTAACATAATCAATTATACTAATATTTATTGGCTTTTTGGGTCACACCCGGTGATGCACAGGGGTTACTCCTGGCTCTGCACTCAGGAATTACCCCTGGCGGTGCTCAGGGGACCATATGGGATGCTGGCAATCGAACCCAGGCTGGCCGTGTGCAAGGCAAACACCCTACCTACTGTGCATAGTGCATTTGCCTTGCACGCGGCCAACCCGTGTTCTGTTCCTTTGTCCCTCTCGGAGAGTCTGGCAAGGTACCAAGAGTATCCCGCACACATGGCAGAGCCTGGCAAGCTCCCTGTGTTATATTCAATATGCCAAAAACAGTTATAACAAGTCTCACGATGGAGATTTACTGATGCCCGCTTGAGCAAATGGATGATCAAACGGGAGGGCAGTGCTACAGTGCTCTAATATTTATAGTTTATATTCAGCAAAAGTTATTTTTTCTTATGTTTCTCTTTACAAGATTTTAAAACCATGCAAAAAAATCTAGTGTAAGGCTGGAGCAATAGTACAGCAGGTTGGGTATTTGCCTTGCACACAGCCAATTCAGGTTCAATTCCTGGCATCCCATATGGTCCTCTGAGCACCACCAGCAGTAATTCCTGAGTGCAGAGCCAGAAGTAACTCCTGAGTTTCACCAGGTGTGACCTAAAAAGCCAAAAACAGAAAAAAGAAAGTCTGGTGTAATATAACTACGTCTAGAGATCTGCTTATTTTTCATACAGTTAAAATGGTGATTTTCTGCCTTATTTTTATCACTGTTTGAATTTTTTTTTCTTTATTAGTCTTCACATCAAAAGAAGAAGCAAGCCTTTTCATACATAGACGTCTTCTATATAACAGATTTGATTTGGAGCTCTTCACTCCCGGTGACCTAGAAAGAGAGTGTATGGAAGAACTTTGTAATTATGAGGAAGCCAGAGAAATTTTTGTGGATGAAGATAAAACGGTAATTTGATTGATAATTTGGGGTCAAGGTGGGGGGGAGTGACATTGAGCCATACCTGGCAGTGCTTTGGGGGTCACTAGAGAGCCATCTGCTGTCCCATATGCAGGGCAAGCATCTTAACCCCTGTCCTGTCTTTCCAGCTTCTGGTTGATGATGTTAGTTGAAATTTATTACATTTTAAGAAAATGGCACTCTTGTCATTATTGATTTTATGGTTAAAAATAAATCAGAATTGGGAGCATGTGAGATAGCATAGAAGGTAAGATGTTTGTCTTGTGGTGGTCCTAGTTCCATCCCTAGTGATGCATATGGTCCTGCAAGCAACACCAAAGGTTATTCTGAGCACAAAGCCAGGAATATCTCCACTAGATGTGGCCCAAATTTTTTAAAATAATAATATGAGGGGCCAGTGAGATAGAACAGTAGATAAAGGTACCTTGCATGTGACTGACGTGGGTTCAATCCCTAGCACCCCATAATGTCTCCCAAGTCTACCAGGAGTGATCCCTACGCACAGACGCAGGAGTAAACCTGAGCACCATCATGAGCACAACTGGGTATGTCCCCCGCCAAAAGTCAGGATTATGTACCTGTTATATCTTTCCATTTCATTGAGATGCTAATAGCCTGTTCCAACTTGATTTTGTACCAATTGTTATAATTAATGAACTATCAATTATGTTGTGGTTTTTCTGTGTGTATAATGTTAGATAAAAAATATTATTAAAAGAAATCATAGAACAGAATTAAACTACAGGATATTATTTGAATTAGTTCTCTGACCTAGGCTTCAGTCATTCAAGGTTCAAAGCTGTGTCTTCCCTCAGTGACCTTACCTTTTTTGATTTCTGTATTTATATTTCAAGTATGTATTAATTCTACTATATGCCAAGTGCTCTGCTAGTTCCTGAGGATACATAATATAAAATCCTCGCATTCAGAAGTTTTATATTTTGGTATATACATAATTTAAGGGAGAAACTTTTATAAGGTCTTCCTTAAAATACAGTTAAACCCTGTTTGTTAACCTTGACAAGGTACAAAAGAGACAGACAGCACTGTCTTGTTATAATCTGACGTTGTCTCGAAGAATGTGACTCATATCTTGACTTTTGTAAGTTAAATAAAGCAACTCCTTTCCCCCTTTCTCAGGAGTTCCTTTTCACTCTTTGGTCATTATGTATCTTCCCAGGTATCTTGCCTAACCAGCGGCAAAGGAACCCAGTTCTTCATTCTTCCATTATTGTTCCTCCACCTCCCATTTCCCTGCAGGCATCTGTTGCACTTACTGGAAAGAAAACTAAAGTGCGTGTTTTATAGTTGGTCCTGTTGAAGTTCTGCTCTCTTTTTCACAAGCTTATTTTCTAATTTTATCATGGCACCTTAAAATCTACTTCCATTCTCTCATGTAGCAATGAATTTGAACAATCTCAGGGATGTCTTTCCAAATCAGCAATATTTCTCAAAAAAAAAAAAAAAACCTGTTAACAAAGGGGCACAAAGCTTAGAAACATTTTGACTTCTTTTCATACTTAAGGAGTCTACTGCCTTAATATTAACCTTTGGTATAGATTCACCAATTTTTTTTGGTATAGATTCACCAATTTTTTCTACTTTTTATCCTTGGTTTTTGGCCTGCACTGAGGGCCCTGCCCTCTGTACTGCCTCTTGGGTCCCTCATCATCAACATTTTTTGTGGGGGTCATACCTGGTGGTACTCAGGCCTTACTCCTGGCTCTGCTCTAAAGGATCATCCCTGGTGGGACTCAGGGGACTATACAGGATGCCAGGAGTTTAACCCTGGCCAGCTGAGTGCAAGGCAAGCACCCTGCCCACTGTATTATTTCTTTGGCTCCTCCCCAACTTTTTACTTTTTTATCATTATTTTTCTTTTTGGTTTTTGGGCCACATCGGCGATGTTCACGGGTTACTCCTAGCTCTGCACTCAGGGATCACTCCTGCTGGTGCTCAAAGGTCCATCTGGGATGCTGGGGATCCAACCCAGATTGGCTGCATGCAAGGCAAGTGCCTTACCTGCTGTACTGTCTCTCTGGCCCCTCACCAATATTTTAATGCTAAAATTTTCCTTGATGTTTGAATGGGGGCTCTTGGCAGGAGACAGAAGAGTAGTGGGGTACAGTGGTAGAATGCTGGCACCGGTGGTAACTTCCTAAACAATTCTGGAATTGGGTGAAACAGTGGTGAGTGGTAACTTTAATTAAAGTGAGTCATGCCCTCCAGCTTGAATGAACTGGTCTCATACCTGTGGCACATGCCAAGAATATACTGCCCCGAGTCTTGGTCATTGTGATCAAGTGAGATGATAATAAAGACATTAAATAAACATTAAATAAACTTGATGTATTTATCTTCTTCTTAGATGAAATTTTGGCAAGACTATTCAACGAAAGGACCCACCACAAAAACCGGTAAGGCAAAAATTAATGTAATCGAATGTTTTTCCCATATTTCTAATAGGTAAATATATTAGTTTCATTGTTCAAGTTGTATTGCTCAACATGCATGCCTTGTAAATCCAAATAATTTTTCTCAATTATACACTAGGCTCCGGAAACAGAGAAAGGCATATTCATCTATACACTGAGAATCAAGTTTGGTGAGATACTAGGGAAATGAGATAATTGACTAAAAGGTATTTTAAACAGTCCAACAAGTCAAGACTTGTACAGAATAAAAGTAGGACCTCATTAGTTTCAAGTAGCCAACTTTATAATTTTTTTACTATTATAGATAGAATTACTATTATTCTAGAAAAATTAAGATATCTAGATATTGGGATTAGAAGTGGGAACATTGTTTACCTGAAAAATTACTGTAAACAACTAAAGAAATCACTGTATCAAATAAGTACTGTGAGACAGGGAAAAGTTTCTTTCCCTGTCTCACAGCAGTTACTATCGGTGAGTGGGGATGAAAGCCATGGTGTAGAAATGAGTCTTGTTAGTCTTATAACTGCTAAGGTTTTCTCATTACTCCCACATATTATTATTATTATTATTATTATTATTGTTGTTGTTTTTATTGTAGCACAGCGGGTAGGGTGTTTGCTTTGCCGACCAAGGTTTGATTCCTCCATCTCTCTCGGAGATCCCAGCAAGCTACTGAGAGTATCCCGCCCTCATGGCAGAGCCTGGCAAGCTCCCCAAGGTGTATTCAATATGCCAAAAACAGTAACAGCAAGTCTCACAATGGAGACGTTACTGGTGCCCGCTCAAGCAAATCGATAAACAACGGGAGGGCAGTGCTACAGTGCTACAGTGCTACAGTATGTAATAAAAATTTTGAAAATACTGCTTGATAGTATACTTAACTTCTAGGTAGGGGATACCTTTTTTTTTTAATATATTAATCACTTCTTATGCTTTTTAGGCAATTTTTTTGCCAGTTACGTTTTCATTTTCCTTAAGTAGGATCTAACCAGAGAGAGACAATATCATAAATATCTACACTATAGTTGTTTAATACATTAACCTGAATTAATGCCAAAGTGTACGTAGCTGAGCAAAGACTGTATCTATTCCACTTAGTGTTCAATATCCATTTAATACAAACTTTTAAAAAATAAATACAACCATAATTGGGGCCAGAGCAATGGTACAGCAGGTAGAGCACTTACCTTGTACACAACCAGCCTAGATTCACTCTTCAGAACCGCATAATGTCACCCAGGCTCTACAAGAGTTATCCCTGAGTGCAGAGGCAGGAGTAAGCCCTGAGCACTGTTGGGTGTGGGAGGAGGAGGAGGAAGAAGAGAAGGGGAAAAAAAAGAAATAAAACCATAACAAGAGCTTTCAGGAAGGGCATTTAAAATTCATTGAGATCAGGGCTGTAGAGGCAATGTAGCAAGTAATGCACTTGCCTTGCACACATCAGACCTGGGTTCAATCCTCAGCACCGAATATAGTCCCTGAGCCCTACCAAGAGTGATCCCTGAGCATATAATTAAGAATACATCCTGAGAATATAATTAAGAATACATACTGCTACGTGTGCACCACCCCCCGAAAAAAAATTTCATTCAGGTGGTAAATTTAGCACAGTCTTCTTTGGAGGGAAGAAGGTGTTTTTGTTGTGGTAATGGGGTTGGAACCCTGGGTTTCACACATGAGAATCATGCTCTATAACTGAGCCACATTCCCAGCCCCTAGCACAAAGGCATTTTAAAGAATCAGTGCTAATTATGAAATACTTAATAGTATGCTTAAACCTTATTGAAATCAAAAGGTGGTGCTTCATCTGACAAGGGGTTGATATCCAGGATATACAAAATACTGGTTAAACTCCACAAGAAGAAAACATCCAACCCCATCCAAAAATGGGGCAATGAAATGAACAGAAACTTTCTCAAAGAAGAAATCCGAATGGCAAAAAAGCACATGAGAAAATTCTCTACATCATTAATCATCAGGGAGATGCAGATCAAAACCACAATGAGATACCATCTCACACCTCAGAGACTGGCCCACATTCAAAAGAACAAAAGCAACCGATGCTGGCGGGAATGTGGCAAGAAAGGGACACTCCTTCACTGTTGGTGGAAATGCCGACTGGTTCAGCCCTTCTGGAAAACAGTATGGACGATTCTCAAAAAATTAGAAATTGAGCTCCCATTTGACCCAGCAATACCACTCCTGGGAATATATCCCAGAGAGGCAAAAATGTATAGTCGAAGTGACATCTGCACTTGTTTGTTCATTGCAGCACTCTTTACAATAGCCAGAAACTGGAGGAAACCTGAATGCCCAAGAACAGATGACTGGTTAAAGAAACTTTGGTACATCTACACAATGGAGTACTATGTAGCTGTTAGAAAAGATGAAGTCATGAAATTTACATACAAGTGGTACAACATGGAAAGTATCATGCTAAGTGAAATGAGTCAGAAAGAGAGGGATAGACATAGAAAGATTGCATTCATCTGGGGGATATAAAGTAACAAAGTATGAGATTAATACCCAAGAATAGCTGAGATCAGCACCAGGAGGATTACTCCATAGCTTAGTGGCCAGTCGAGCATTCTAGAGGAAAGGGCAGCTCAGATAGAGAAGGGAACACCAAATAAAGGGTGTTTGGAGGATCCTCCCAGGAGAGGAGATGCATGTCGAAAGTAGACTATGGACTGAACATGTTTGCCACTCAATGCCTCTTTTGCAGACCACAACACCCAAAAGGAGAGAGAGAACACAGGGGATTGCCCTGCCACAGAGGCGGGAGAGATGGGGGGATGGGGGTGGGGGGAGTATTATCCATGGTGGTGGAAAATGGGCACTGGTGGAGGGATGGGTATCTGATCATTGTATAATCAAACCCAAGCACAAAAAATTGTAAATCTACAACTGTACCTCATGGTGTTTCACTAATAAAAAAAAAAAGGAAAAAAAAAGGAAAAAAAATAAAGGTGGTGCTTTTCCCTTTTATATTTATGTCTTTTATATTCTTTCTTTCTAAGATGAAAACAGAGAGAAAATTGATGTTATGGGCATTCTCACTGGCCTAATTGCTGCTGGAGTATTTTTGGTCATTTTTGGATTACTTGGTTATTATCTTTGTATTACTAAATGTAACAGACAACAACATCTAGGGTAAGTATCAAAATTTAAAATACTTCATTCACTCTTACGTATTATATATTGTGATTTTTAAATCGATTGAGCAAAATCTAAGTTTTGTAAATAAGTTTTTTATTCTGGAAAATTTTAGATAGATATGAAAGTTGCAGCAATAGCACAGAGTCCCCATATATCTTTCCCTCCATTTTCACAATTACCAGAGTGCATTTGTCAAAACTGAAAAACAAACACAGGTACATTTCTATTAACTGAACTCCAAACTTTATTTAGATCAGTGCTTTTCAAGTGCCATTCTTCAGACCACTGTGCCACTACTGACTTTAATGTTAGCAGTTTTTTGGGCTGGAGCAATAGCACAGTGGGTAGGGAGTTTGCCTTGCATGCAGCTGACCCGGGTTCGATTCCCAGCATCCCATATGGTCCCCTGAGCACCGCCAGGGGTCATTCCTGAGCGCAGAGCCAGGAGTAACCCCTGTGCATTGTCGAGTGTGACCCAAAAAGAAAAAAAAAAAAGTTAGCAGTTTTTCTATTGACTTTCTCTTCCTGCTCCAAGATTGAGATACCACGTGGCATTGAGCTGTCATGTCTCCCCAGTCTCCTCCAATCTGTGAAACTTATCCATTGCTTTACTTAACAATTACATTAACATCTTGGTGATGCTATTTCTAAAGGCCTTCAAAAGAATTACTTCCACAAATGTCAGCTTGTTTTTTTTTTTCAGCATTTCCTTCTAAGACGGGAGGCAGATAGCTGTATACCCCAATTATTTACAAAGGCAAGAGCTCCTGCAGTTTATTCTGAGTCAAAGAGTTAACTGGTTGTGTCATGTGGTTACCAAAATAGAAAAATAATTTTTAATTAGGTTTTTAAGGGTCAGAGAGACAGTACAGTAGGTAAGGCACTTGCTTTGCAAACAGCCAACCCGGATTTAATCCCTGGCACCCATATGGTCTCCGAAGCACTGCCAGGAGTAATTCCTAAGTGCAGAGCCAGGAGTAACCTCTAGCATTGCCAGATATGGCCCAAAAGTAAACAACAACAACAAAAAATAATTTTTGGAATCCTTGTTAAAATTTAAAGGTTACTATATTCTATAGTCAGTAAATACAGGTAAGTAAGTATAGAAATAAGGCTATTCCAAAACAAAATCAAGAACAAAAAAACACCAGGGCTGGAGACATAACTCAATCGGCTGAGCTCATGCTTTGCATGCAGGAGACCAGGTTCAATTCCTGGCACCACATAGTCCCCTGAGCGCAGAGTTAACTGGGAGTAACTCCTGAGTACTCCCAAACAAAACAAACAAGCAAAAACAAAAATTATGAAGTGCTGACTAGGCTCCCTGAAACTGACGCTTATATACCCCAATTCACACTTTCAAATTCTGTAACTAAGCTCTTGATGGTGACTGGTTGGTGAAAGAATTGTGGAACTAGTTGTGATATACATAATGGTGTGAATAAAATTAATACCACTCAATTGTACATATTAAATATTTAAAGGACAGATTTTATAATATATATGTATATATATCTTTCCACAATTTTTTAAAAGTTGTCAGGGTAAGAGTCTAAGGGAACAGATATGATTTAGGATTCATCTACTGGCAGATTAAATCTAATGCTGTGAGAGTAGGCAAGCTCCTTGAATGAGATGAGAGAAAGGACAGAAGGATACAAATGTATAGAATGCACAGGACTCAAGTGAAGAAAGAAAACGGGCTGAGGATGTAAATATAAAATAAGTTTATATCCTCAGGCTGGAATTCCAGAACAGCCCCATCGGGAATTAACATGATTTGTGCGCATAACCTATAAGCAAGGCAAATGCCTTAACCCTATATTCTATCTTAAGTCTTCCTTTCTATGTTGAGGTATACTTGACATTATTATAGTTTCAGGTATAGAATATAGTGCTTTTGTAAGTTTAGTTTGTACATCATCACACATAGTTACAAAATGGGGTTTTTTTTAATTTAGTTTTGTTTTGGAGGCACAGCTGGCAATACTCAGGGGTTACTCCTGACTCTGCATTCAATAAGGACTCCTAGTGGTGCATTGGGGATCATAAGGGGTGCCAAGGATCAAACCAGAGTTGGCTACATGCAAGGCAAGCACCTTACTTGCTGTACTATCTCTCCAGCCCCAGTTACAAAATGTTTTTTCTTGTTAATGAGAGCTGTTAAGAACTACTCTTTATAAACCTCATATATATATATATATATATATACATATATATATATGCAGCATGGTGCTTGTTCATCTATTTATTTTTAGAAATATCACACCCAGCAGTGCCCTGGCATTCCTGGTAGAGCATGACCTAAATGGGCACTAGAGCACAGGCCCTAGTCACCACTGTGGTCACCAGACTTGGGGTCACTAGAGTCACGCCAGTAGTGCTCAGGGAGACATTTGGTGCTAGGGATCCAACTCAGGATCTTGCATATGGTAGGCATGTGCTCTACCACTTGAGTATCTCCCCAGCCCAATACAGAGTTAGCTTTGGTCACAGTGCTCTACATTTGTAATTTGTACTAATTTATTTAATTACTGGAAGTCTGGACCTTTTAATTCCCTGGCTCTAGCAACCTGCTTTATTTTTCTTAAGCCATTTTTTTTCTTTTTGGGTCACACCTGGCGGTGCTCAGGGGTTACTCCTGGCTTTGCACTCAGGAATCACTCCTGGCGGTGCTCAGGGGACTATATGGGATGCTGGGAATAGAACCTGGGTCAGCTGCGTGCAAGGAAAACACCCTGCCTGCTGTGCTATCGCTCCAGCCCCAGACATTATCTTTTGAGCAGACAGATTTCTTTGGAGAGTGTCGGGGGGGGGGGGGGGGGGGGTCAGTAGCTGGGAACCGTTTTTGGCTCTTGCTTGGGGTTGCTTCTGGTAGTTTTTTGGGGGGCAGTTTGTGGTGCTGGATGTCTAGCTGGGGTCAACTGCATGCAAGGCAAGCACCTTACCACCCTGTACTATTTTCTCCATCCCAAGCTTTGTAGTAAATTTCCTATTAAACAGACAGGAAATGATTCAGGTCATTATGTTTTCTAGGATTGTGGATTAAGGTTCTATTTCAAATGGCCTTTTTCACAAGTTGGGAGATTCTTGGAAACTCAAAGATGATGAAGAAATAGGCAGAAAAATATTTTGAATACTCTTCTTGCCTTTTATCTCACCTTTCTTTTTCTTCTTTTTTTTTCATTTTCTTTCTTTCTTTTTGTTGTTGTTGTCGTTGTTGTTTTTCTTTTTGCCATACTTGGCAGTTCTCAGGGCTTACTCCTGGGAGGCTCAGGGTCATATGGGATGCCAGGGATTGAGCCCAGGTCAGCCTCTTGCAAGGCAAGTGCCCTATCTTTGCCCAGGATAGGCTGGCCTATTGCCCAGCCACTTAACTCACTCTTCTTTCTTTTCCACCCTACTCATATTTTCTCCAGAAATTTTTTGTATGCCCTCATGTTACGTTTCACTTGGCGTTTGTGATAGCACAGCCATTGTTCAGTGTCCTCACATGTGCTATTTTCTTCTACCATCTCCTTTGTTTTCCTTCCAGGTTTCTACTCTTCTGCATCGCTACATCTCTCTACCTGATACCTTTTAACGTGAAACTTAGCTTCTTCCCTGCATGAGAATAGACATAGAATTCAAAGACAGGGAGAGCAAAATGGTATCATGGTGGTGTCAATCATATATATATATATATATATATATATATATATATATATATATATCACTGTAAAACTTTGTCAGCCAGGCTAGCTCTCATTTTAAAAGTCAGATTGATTATACTCAATGCTGGTGTAGTCTAATGCTATACAGCTCACAGATCATTTTATCTGTTGTCTAGCTTTGACCCTCATGATAACACACTGAGTTTTTTTTTAGCCCCCAGTGACCTTTCATACTAGATTGACTGGACATCCTAGTTTTTATTTTATTTTATTTTATGTAGGAGTACTGCTATTTATTCAGCCACTGATTAGCTGATTGAATTGTGCATGAACTCCACCTTACTTTTTTTTTCATTTTTTATAATTTTATTTATTGAATCACCGTGAGGGCATTTACAAAGCTTTCGGGTCTAAGTCTCGGTCATACAATGAAACACTCATACCTTCACCAGTGCCCACTCTCCACCACCAAAACCCCCAGTATATCCCCATCCCACACCCTTCCCCTACCTGTGGGGCAGTTTCCACATTACTCTCTCTCTACTTTGATCACATTCAATATTTCGACACCAGACCCACCATTATTATTTGAGATTTTACCCCAACACTCAGATCGGCTGAAAAGGCAACAGTAGACAATTTGTGTTCTATTGCTGGTTATGAATAACATATGATGTTGCGTAGCTGCAGTAGGGCCATATGATTTTGAAATTCCAAAATTTTAACACTTAAATCTGGAGAGACTTCTGCCAAAAGTCACTGGGTTTCGAGATTTGATCCTGAGTCTCTGGGATCATAGCCATTGAGCAGCTTGATCAGGAGCCAGAGAGGCCGTTCATGGGTGATGACTTGGGTTGCCCATCGACAGTAACGTACTGCGGGGTCTGGACACATTTCTGCCAAAAGCCGCTGGGTTTCGAGATTTGTTTCTGAGTCTCTGGGATCATGGCCATTAAGCAGTTCAATCAGGAACCAGAGAGGCCATTCATGGGTGATGACTTGGGGTCTCATTGGGGTGGGATGGGGAGGACAGGCCTGGCTCCCCCCCCACCCCCTGAGGCCCAAAAAGTTTCATCACTGTGGGCCCAAGCCTGACTGTCCAATGGCCTCTGGAAGATGACGGCCACCGAGCCGCCAAGGGGGAGCAGGCAGAGTGACAACACCTTTTCCTCCCTGGGGTGGCCCGGAGACAGTAACGTACTGTGGGGTCCGGACGCATTTCTGCTAAAAGCCACTGGGTTTCGAGATTTGTTTCTGAGTCTCTGGGATCATGGCCGTTAGGCAGCTTGATCAGGAGCCAAAGAGGCTGTTCGTGGGTGATCACTTGGGGTCTCGTTGGGGTGGGGAGGACAAGACTGGCTCCATCCCCTACCCATGAGGCCCTGCGTGTCTCGTCACTGGGGGCCAAAACCTGACTGTCCAGTGGCCTCTGAAGGATGGCGGCCACTGGGCCCCCAGGAGAAACAGGCCAAGTCAAGAAACCTATTCCCACCTGGGGTGGCCCAGCACCGGTAACTTACTGCAGGGACCGGACGCATTTCTGCCAAAAGCTGCTGGGTTTCGAGATTTATTTCTGAGTCTCTGGGATCATGGCCATTAAGCAGTTCAATCAGGAACCAGAGAGGCCATGCCTCCAATTATATAGCTGGGCCGGAGGTGGTTTGTGGGTGTGTTTCCCACATACCTAACTTTTGGCCATTTACTTTCTTGGTAAACTTTGCCCCAAGGTTTTGCGGTCTGGCCAAAGGCACAGCAGCAATTTTGGGGTATCTGGAAGTATGAAGGCGCCATCAAGCTGCTGATGCACTCACCTCACAGGTACAGATTGACCTGCTGGTGGCACCATACCCCCTATCCTAGTTTTTAAATACTCACTGTTTTCCATCAGTTGCCCCAGGAATCTTCCAGCATAGTTCCATTTTCTCTTTTCAAACTTTCCAGTCCACAGGTGGGAGAACACTGAGGGAATAATTGAGAAAAAAATGAGTTTCCAGAAAAGTTTGTTTCTCAAAATAAAATTTCAAGAAATAAGAAACAAGATCTTTTTATTTCTTAATTTCTATAATTTTTGAATGCAACAGTTTTAGATTATTTGAGATATTACAGATGCATATGTTCTGTTTTCAGTTATTTAAGATGTGTGCCAGAAATTAGTTTGGAGAGCTAGAGCAATATGTAGTACAGTGGGTAAGGTGCTTGCCTCCCTGAAGCTGACACGGGTTCAATTTTCAACATCCCATATGGTCCCCTAAACCTCCAGTGATCCCAGAGTGCAGTTCAGAAGTCCTGAACACCACCAGGTGTGGCCCAATTACTGCTTGCAGAGCCAGACAGATCATTCCCTGAGCACTTAATTTGTATGCAGAAGGCCATGGATCTCTCTATGGTATCTGGAGAACCTTCCAGAGTGACCCCCAAGTACAGAGTCAGGAATAATCCCTGAGCACTGTCAGGTGTGACCTCAAAACCAGAAAAAGGAATAAAAAGAAACTACTGTGTAAATAGTTACTTTGATGATATTTTTATATTATTTCTTTACCTTGAAATTTGAAAATCTGGGGGCTGGAGCAATAGCACAGCAGGTAGGGAGTTTGCCTTACACGCGGCCAACCCAGGTTCAATTCCCAGCATCCCATATGGTCCCCTGAGCACCGCCAGGGGTAATTCCTGAGCACAGAGCCAGGAGTAACCCCTGTGCATCGCTGGGTATGACACAAAAAAGCAAAAAAAAAAAATTGAGGGGGCTGGAGAGATAGCACAGTGGGTAGGGCGTTTGCCTTGCACGCGGCCAACCCGGGTTCGATTCCCAACATCACATATGGTCCCCTGAGCACTGCCAGGAGTAACTCCTGAGTACAGAGCCAGGAGTAACCCCTGTGCATCGCCAGGTGTGACCCAAAAAGAAAAAAAAATTAAAAATCTGGGTCAGAGTGGGTAAAGCACTTGATTTGCAAATTTCTGACTCAGGTTCGATACCCCTCAAGCCCCACCAGGAGTGATCCCTGAGCACAGAGCCAGGACTAAGCCCTGAGCACCATTAGGTGTGCCCCATTCCTCCAAAATGTGTGAAGGCCAACATAGAAGAATACATAGACCTTCAGCCACAAGCTAATAAAAGTGGCAAATGATTAGCCTACAATGAATACATTCCAGGTTTCTGACAGCAGGAGTATGTTAAGTCCATAACTAGATCTGTGATGCTCTTAGTCACCTCTCCACTATTTAACGACTAATATTCCTGTTCCTATATCTATACATATCTTTTGTCTTTCTTCTCTCTTTCTCCTTCCCTCCAATTTCTTTTGGCGGGCCACCACATCTGGGGTACTCAGGGCTTACTTCTGGCTCTGTGCTCCTAAATCATTACTGAGGTACTCAGGGAACCACTTATGGTACCAGGATCCTTATTGATTTAAATAATGTAAATACTGAGTAGAGGTAGAAGACTACCTATGAATTTTTTTTAAGATTTTTGGGTCACACTCAATGATGCTTAAGGGTTACTCCCGGCTCTGTGCTCAGGAATTACTTCTGGCGAGCTCAGAGGACCATATGGGGTGCCGGGAATCAAACCCTGTCAGTCTCATGCAAGGCAAATGCCCTACTCATTGTACTATAACTCTAGTTCCTTACTATGAATTTTGGTTTTTCTTTCGCCTTTACTAAACAGCTCAATTCCCAATATTTATTTCTTATTAAGTTTGATTTAGGGGACCACTGTGTGGTGCTCATGGGCTACACCTGGCTCTGTGATTAGGAACTGCTCCTGGGGTGATGGTATCAATTTCTGGATTCTTGTATGTAAAGCATGCAGCCTGTTGGGCTCTCTCAAGTTCCTGATTTTAAAGCTTTTGGTCTTTCACCATACCAAGACTCTTTCAGAATTCATGAATAAAACTATTTTATTTAATATATTAGGTTCAACTTTTTTCAAAGTAGTGTGGTCTCTTAACTTTGCCATCTTAGCTCTTGTAGACCTAAAATGCTGCCTTTTCTAGACCTTAATGTTGTTTTTCTATATTTAGTTCTCCGACTGCCTACGTGAGAAGGGACAGACATGCCCCCACCATCATTTTTAGAAGACCCGAAGAGGCTTTATTGAACATACCACCACCTTCAGTGGAGGACTCAGGACTCCCTTCTTATGAACAAGCAGTGGCACTCACCAGAAAACACAATGCTTCGCCACCACCACCATATCCTGGGCCAGCAAAAGAGTTTAGGGTGTTTAAAAAGTCTATGTCTCTCCCATCTCATTAAGCCAATCTCATTATGCTTTGGTGGAAGAGAACATTCCACCAAGAAGAGGATATTCGTGTTATGTGAATGCATTATTTCCCCTGGATCAAAAAGGGGACATCACTTTCAGACTTTTATGACACACTGCAGGGAATAAAGGAGGAATAATCATGCGTCTTACACACTCCAGAATGTTTCTCACACCCTGTACCTGAGCGAGCTGGAGCAATAGTACAGTGAGTACTATTTGACTTGCATGCAATGGACTCAAGGTTTGATCCCTGGCATCCCAGATGATCCTCAAGCCCTGTCAGGAATGATCTCTGAGTACAGGGCTAAGGAGTAAGCCCTAAGCACCACTGGGTTTGGCCCAAAATTTTTTTAAAGAAAAATGAGGACAAACCCTTCTGGGGCTGGGGTGATGACTCCAAGAGCACATGTTATGCATCTGGCAGACTCCGTTTAATCCTGGCTCCATATGGTCCTCTGAGCACCTCTGGAATGATCCTCATACACTGAACTGGGAGTAGCCCTCAGTAACACTAGGTGTGTCCCTCCAGCTCTGCCCTCAAAAAAAAATGAAAAAAGAAAAAGAAAGAAAGAAAGGAAGGAAGGAAGGAAGAAAGGAAGGAAGGAAGGAAGAGCACTTTTGAGACCTGGGAATTCAGGAAAAGCAGCCTACCTTGCTGGTATGAAGCCTTGAGTTTGATCTGCAGCAACACCCACATGCTGAGTTCAGTCCAGTCAGCATGCTGTGTGGATTTCCTGTGTCACAAAAAAAGTGTATGAACTCTGGTACACCACAAGCCAGTGTGTAAGAGCACAGAGATGAAAGTGTAAGTGCATTGCAACCAAGTATGCAATCCCCATTAGCAAATCAACAGCAAAAGGAAAGGAAGGGGAGGAAGAAAGAGTGATTTTTTTGTTTATGTTAACTTTTGTTTTTAAGTGTTGAGCCAAAGAGATAGTCAAGGAATAAGGCACTTGCTTTGCATGCAGGTGATGCTGGGTCAGTCTCCAGCACTGCATAGGGTCCCCTGAGCACTACCAGGAGTACGCGCTGAACACTGCCAGGTGTAGCCCCAAAACAAAACAGACAAAAATATCCATTTTAGGGATGATATGGCTAAAACTGGCAAACTGTGCATGAATTTTTTTGTGTGAAATCAAAGTTCCAGATTTTTTTATACTGAGTATTAAAGAATTAGAGTTTCTAATTATTATATAATCTCAAGTCATAATATTGGGATCCACTCTTTATAAACTTTCACTTTAAGTATAAGAACGTCAAAGAATTTAACATTTCAGTATAAATTTGTGACTTGATATAACCACTTTGTTTTATATGTGTGTATTATTTCAGTGCTAAAGATTGAACCAGATTGAACTCAGTCCCTCACACATGCAAAGATAGTGTTCTACCATTCCCATGGTGAACTAAATCCCCATCTCCTATATTTCAAATTATTTCTTAGCACTTACCACATTTTTAGGTTTTACTGCTAATTTGTACTACCAGTCATGTTTTATTATGGGTGAGTGGTTTAAAAAAAAAAACAACTGAGCAGCCAAAGAGATAGTATAAGTGCAGATAAGGTACTTGCCATGGGCACAGCCATCCTGGCATCAATTGTCATCACCACATGTGGTCTCCCAAGAACCACCAGGAATAATCCCTGAACTCCCTGGTGTGAACCAGTACCCATACCACCACTCCCACTTCTTCCCTCCACCTAAAAAACACCTCTTATGAGAGCTCTCACTCTTTCTGTTGCCCTGAGTGAGGCCAGAACCATAAACCATGTTGAAGCTATGCTGAGTCTCTTGGGATCTCAGGAGCCCAGACCACAGGTGTGTGATCTGGATCATCATGTAGGCAGGACAGGACATGTCCAGGCTTCCACTAGACCTCATTCTGGGCCAGCAAGACCTTTCCATCAACAACTTCTGTGAAGTGGTCAATAAGAAGAGCAGAGATAAAGAATATCAAAGAAGATAACTTTCCTGCTTACCAAGATTTTTGTGCTGCCTGAAAGGACATTTGGAATAAAATTTGGGAAATCTATTGTTTCCTGTTTCTTGAGGGTACCTGCTGGGATTGAGCTGAGACTCTGTTAAAATCAAACCATCTTACTTGTTTTTGTTTTTGTTTTAGTTTTTTGCAGAGTCGGGTATGTGCAGAGAAGGCACACCTAGCTGTGCTGAGGGTTTACTCCTGGCTCTGTGCTCAGGGATCACTCCTGGTGGAACTCAGAGACCATATGGAGTGCTAAGATCAAACCCAGGTCAGCCACATGCAAGACAAAATGCCCTACCTGCTTTACTGTCTCTCCAGCCCCTAAAACCAAAATCATCTTAAATCAGATAAATCCCAAGCACAAAAAATTGTAAATCTACAACTGTACCTCATGGTGTTTCACTAATAAAAAAAAAAAAAAGATCAGTGGGATACAAGGGAAGTAGCTCAACCTCTGTATTACATACCTGACCCTTTAATTATCTCATATAAAGAACAATGAACTTTGAAAAAAAAATCAGATAAAAACAAGACCTCAATCCTTTCAGATGTCAAGGACTCCCATTTTAGATTCTCAGAGACTGTTTATTTATTGAAAACAAATCATCTGACAGCCTTAAGATGGAATTATGAAAATGGTCTTTTTGAAGTAATTATATTATCTATTAAAAGTTTACTACTATTAGTCATACTTTGATTTTACATAAGCACTTTATTTAATCCTCTTTGAAAGATCAGAGATAAATTCTACTTTGCCAACTTTTTGAGCTGAAGGATACAGGGGGAGGAAATAGCTCTCCCAAGCATTCCTCAGGAGGCCCAGGCTTCCCACCAGCAATTCACAGCCAACGGGACAGATGCTTCAGTGCAAAGGGCCGAGGATATGATGCTGCTTCAGCCCTGCCAGGCCAGCAGCTAGGGCCTCTAGGGCATCCGCCATAGTGCTCAGGGACCTCCAGGTCTGCACCACGCAATGCTCAATGCTTGGGGAACAATATGGAGCTGAGAATAAAGTCCAGGTAAAACTGCTGTAATATATCCTGGCCCCTTTACTCACCTTCAACAATCATACTAAGGCAGAGAAGAAAAACTTTCTCCAAGTCCAGCATATTGGTCGGGGCTAGGTTTAGAATCAACAAAAACACTTTGAGGCCCATTTTTTAGAGGCAAAATTATTAAATCTAGACAACTTGTTACTTAATTTTAAGAATAATTTATAAGCATTACCATAAGCATTACCACAGTGCTACATATGGATATAGATACAATTATATTCTCATACATATTTTTAGAATGAATACAAGTATTAGATGTGGTATGTTTTTATTGAATCATAAATTGAAATATTCCAGTAACTTGTTTACTCCCATTGACTCACAAGAGTTCTTTTATAAACTAACCTCAGAACCTGTGACAGTCACTTCCTCTCATCAGCTGCCTAGATTTGTCATAAGCCATTATTGGGTGTCAAACTGTTGCTCTAAAACAGAGTGAATCTAGAATTCATCATCAAGGTTGTGAAATCGGAGCTGGAGCGATAGTACAGCTGGTAGGGTGCTTGTGTTGCATGTAGCCAACCCAGATTCAATACCTGTCATCCCATATGGTCTCCTGAGCCCCACCAGCATTGATCCCTGAGTAAGAGCCAGGAGTCAGTCCTGAGCACCTATGGGTGTGACCAAAAAAAGAAAACAAAACACAGTGGAAACACTAATACTTGTACAGCTCCCTATGTTGTACTTGTAATTTTTAAATATAAAAAGGAAACTGCAATAGACTCATAACTGACAAATGCTTATAATAATTTAAAGGAAAATGTCTCCATATAAAATTAATGACATTTATATCTGTCTTGTTTACCTCTTCCTATTCCTGTTTTACTTTTTTTTTCCATTTCATTCCCCAAAACTTTATTTCCTAAATTTTACTATTTTCTAATCCCCACTCATGCCATCTCGTAATATTATACATCCCCCAGATGTTTTTTTTAAATTTTTGTTAGTGAAACATGCTGAAAGTAGTCTATAGACCAAACATGATTGCCACTCAATACCTCTGTTGCAAACCACAACACCCAAAAGGAGAGAGAGAACAAAAGGAAATACCCTGCCACAGAGGCGGGGTGGGGGGGGGGATGGGGGGGGAATACTGGGACCCGTGGTGGTGGAAAATGGGCACTGGTGGAGGTATGGGTGTTTGATCATTGTACAATTGAAACCCAAGTACAAAAATTTGTAAATCTCGGGCTGGAGCGATAGCACAGTGGGTAAGGCGTTTGCCTTTCACGCAGCCAACATGGCCGACATAGGTTCAATTCCCAGCATCCCATGTGGTCCACCGAGCACCGCCAGAAGTAATTCCTGAGTGCATGAGCCAAGAGTAACCCCTGAGCATCGCCAGGCGTGCCCCAAAAAGCAAAAAAAAAAATTGTAAATCTACAACTGTACCTCCCGTTTTAGTTTTGATGGTGAATTTTTTTTTTTGCTCTATTCTGTTGTGTTTCTTTCCAAGGTAGTGGATTAGCATTAATCCTTAACCTGTTTTAACACAGGTTTTATATATAATTAAGTCAGTTTTCCCTATTTTCACAAGCAGGAAATTAGTGGAAGACATTTAAAAAAAATAAAGGTATATGGGTGGGTAGGGCAATGGCTGAGGTGATGAGCATGTTCCTTGCTTGTATAAGGCACTGGGTTCAATCCCTAGCATCACATATCCCCTCTCTCCTGCACCATAGAGAGTGGCCTCAACATACACAAATATAAGGAACTGTAAGGACAGAGAGAGAGTTCAGAGGACTGAGTGCATTCTTTGCATGCAGAACTCTCAGGCTTGATCCCCAGCACCAAATTCTACCCATCCTCCTGAGCACCACAGGAACAGCTCCCAAATACAGACTGGGAGTAATCCTTAAGCACTGCTGGGTGAGGCATAAACCGGGGAGTGGGGAGGGAAGAGGGGGTAAGGGGAGCAAGGGGAAGACTAGAAAAAGACATTATAAAGGTTAAACATTCTGTAGGAATGATACTTATACACAGAATCACTGTATCACTGTCATCCCATTGTTCATCGATTTCCTCAAGCAGGCACCAGTAATGTCTCCATTTGTCCTAGTCCTGAGATTTTAGCAAGTGCCACATGGGAGGCTCTTTCAGGGTCAGGGAAATGAGACCCATCATTGTTACTGAGTTTTGGCATATCAAATTTACCACAGGGAGCTTGCCAGACTCTGCTGTGCGGGCAGGATACTCTCGGTAGCCTGCGGAATTCTCTGAGAGCAAGAACTAGACAATAAGAGGTCGCTTCTGGGAGCTTGGTTTTATAATCCCTGGATCTTGGCCATTGATGGGATTACATAGCGCCGGGGGGAGTTGGTGGGTGTAACTGTCTAGCTACTGAAAGATGGGGGGACTGGGTGGAGGAGGCTCAGTCCCAATCTGAGCAGGCTTAGAGATCTCAGTCCTGAGTCCCACACACATGGGTTCCTCTGTCGGTTCCTTCATGCTTGAGGCTCGTCCGAGCATGTGGAAAGCAAGACCTCTTATTGTCTAGTTCTTGCTCTCATTCCCCTGCCCCTGAAAGAGCACTTGCTAAAATCTCAGGACAGGGACAAATGAAGATGTTACTGGTGCCTGCTTGAGGAAATCGATGAACAACGGGATGAGAGTGATACAGTGATTTTTTTTATAAAGTTGTTCACAATAATTTATCACAATTAATATTCCAACACTAATCCCACCACTATTATACCTTCCCACCACCATTGTTTTGAATTTTCCCGACTACTATCTAAGCCTGCCCCAATAGCAGGCTGTAAATAATTTATTTTATATTGCTTGTTATGAATAATCCTCTAAATATTATCAAAAAAGTTTCCTTAGAAGAAAGTGTGTGAAGATTGTTGTATTTCACCCTAGAGCCATTAAGCCCTTGTATAAGAAATTACTAACATGTAGTTACAGGTTGAGCCTTGTGTGCTAATACAATTTTTTATTGAGATCGGTTGCCCTCTACCTTACACCCCATCCAATATGGTGTCTACTCCTGGTACGTCAATGGTGTAGCATATGAGATGTCGCACAGCCACAAATGCAGCCGCACACTGCAGGAATTCTAAAATTTTAAATAGGGTGATACAGCTGGAGTTAAATTTTTAACTGGATGGTGACTTTGGGGTCCAGAGGCATCTCTGCAGCTTGTTGATCTCTTCTGACATTTATTTGTGAGTCTCTGGATGATGGCTGTTAATGAGCTTAAGTGGTACCAGAGGCAGTTTATGGGCGTGACTGCCAGATCCCCGGAAGAACAGGGAGATTGGGGTAGGTCACCCATCCCCAACTCCATGAGAGCCTGGAGATTTTGGTCACAAAAATGGCATATCTGAGTTTTTCAACAGATTCACTCATGGATGAGGCTAATCCCTAGCTTGTGGAGATGGGAGTGAGCATGACAGCGATTGAGTTCTGGAGGTTTTTGGCTGCAGGGGCAATGTTGGGGCGGATAGAGGGACTCACTCACCCCTTCAAGAATGCCCTAGATAAGAGTCAACCTAGTGCAGAGGCATCAGACATCACTCCTGGTGAGTTTCAGGGACCGTGTGTAGTGCCAGGGATCGAACCTGGGCTGGCCTCACGCAATTCAGGCTCCCTAACCACTGTAGATCTCTCCAGTCTTCATCATTCATTGTTTTTTTGTTGTTCTTGTTTTGTTTTGTTTTTAAAGCACAGTGGATAGGGCACCTATCTTGTATGCAGCTGGCTCAGGTTCGATCCTTAGTACCACACATGGACATTGCCAGGAGTGATTCCTAAGTACAGAGTCAGGAGTAAGCCCTGAGCACTGTCAGACTTGTCCCACTTGATCACTTGATCACTTGACATCCCGTTATTCATCAACTCGCTAGAGCGGGTGCCAGCAACATCTCCATTCATCCCTGTCGTGTGCTAATGTAGCACAATGGCAAGGAACACGAAAAGCCTCAAATCGATCGTTCAGGCTCTTGACGAAGAAGTCTGACCATCTCATAGGTGGGCGGCCACGTGATCTTTTGACGTCCTGTGGAATCCAGTCGGTAATGGCTCTAGTCCAGCGGTCATCTCCAAATCTCATTACGTGTCCAGCCCATCTGATTTTCTACGCCTTAGCAAATGAGACAGCGTCCCTGATTCTTGACCGTCAACAAAGGTCAGAACTTTGGATTCTTTCTCTCATTTGAGTGAAGAGTGATACTCCAAGCATAACTCTTTTGATTCCTCTTTGGGAGACCTGGATAGCATTCTCATCATGTTTGCATAGGGCCCAGATCTCTGAGGTGTATGTTAATGCAGAAAGAACAGTGGAATCGAAGAGATGTGCCTGGAGCCGGAGGTTCTTCATTCACTTAGCTATTTCTTCGATATTATTGAAGGCGTTCCAAGCCGCTCTCTTTCTCCTGTGCAACTCAAGTGCCAGGTCATTTGTCATATTGACTTCTCTACCTAGGTATACATAACTATTGTATTCGGAGATGTTTGTCCCATTGAGAGTGAATGGAATGTCAGGAATGAAACCATTTTTCATAAACATTGTCTTTGTTAGATTCAGCTGTAGTCTGACCCTTCCACACTCACGGTCGAAGTCGGCCAGCAT